AATGTGAAAGGTATATTTGACAAGAAAGAGCAAGACAGTGTACAACGCAGAATTACCACCCTCAGTTATATTGATGAAGAATACACACAAGAACAATGGGTCAGAGTCTATACAGATGGATCAGCACAAAGTGCAGTTAGAAATGGTGGTGCTGGAGTATACATAGAATTCCCAGATGGTACTAGGGATAAGTCCAGCCTACCAACCGGGAAGTACTGCCATAACTATGATGCAGAAACTCAGGCTATCAAGATAGCAATAGAGAAACTGCTAAATACCAATCTTGGCTCACAGTATGTGGTAATGCTGACAGATGCCAAATGCGTACTTGAAGCACTCCAGTCTAGGAAACTACCAGAATTGCAAACACTGCTGACACAACTCAGCGTTCAGCGAAGAGTCGTAATGCAGTGGATACCGTCTCATTGTGGAAGGCTGGAAATGAGAAAGCTGATCAATTGGCAGGGGAAGGTGCGACAAAATTGCAGCCCGATGTACCAGTCACATACCACCAAAAGAAAAGAATCATTAAATCAATCAGGAAACCACCAGCCCAGCACAAGACTAATTTATTATGGACAGACCAGAACAAGTTATTATCCTCCGCCTCACAACCGATTACGTAACCACATGTACACAAAATTCAAGATAGGCGTATCAGCCATGTGCAGCTGTAGAAAGGTTCCCCAGACAGCAGAGCATGTACTCCAGGACTGCATCGAATTTGACACATTAAGGCAAACCTTTTGGCCAGAAAAAAACAACAGTGGAGCGTAAACTCTATGGACCACTGAATGAACTAACAATGACAGTGAAATTTATACAAGGGACAAAATCGCTGATATAGACAACTTATTTCAGGCGAACGAAAGAAGAAGAAGAAGACAAGAAACATGCACTGTCTTGTAACCTGTCAGTATTATTGTTAAGGATGCCAAGAGTGTTAATTACTTGACACCAGGGTGCAGACGCGCATTATGAGCTCATAATGACAGTTTAAAGATGGTCGCCCCACTTTTGACATGCTCCAAAGAGAAGCAGCGTTCTGTTATCCCTTTAAAAATTCATCGGCGAATGAGGGTCCAGTGTGGTGGTGCATGCTTGTCACTCAAGCAATCTGTGATTTTCCTGTACGAGGCTTTCACGGGCTGCAATCGATTCTGAGTTCACAGCTTGGTTTACCTGGCCCTCTTCTTCTGCCTTTCTAACACCCAGTGGAGCATAGGCCCTCGGCCAGTTCACACCAAGTCGTTCTATCTTTCACTATCGTATGCAGCTCTCCCCATGTCCTGCCCATCTTTTTTACTTCACTCCCTCGCTTCCGTCTCCGTGTGTTTTTTGGTCTTCCTCTATTTCTATGCCCACGTGGACATAATAATTTCCTCTTTAGATGGGGTCTTACAGTTGATATCAAGTTCCATTTCTCAAGGCTGGATATCTGGAGTAACCTGTGGTACTGGTCTGTTCAGAAGTATTTCAAAATATTCAACCCACCTGTCCATTTGATCTTTAATGTTAGTGAGAACCTTACCTTGACTGTTTTTGATTGTGTGACTGGCCAGGTGGCGGCCAGTCTGACACAGAAGTCACGCCGTTTTGAAAGATGCCACTCCACGCACACACTCGTAGAATGGTAGGGGGCTGCGTGGTCTCAGGGTATGGTGTCCACCTTGAGTGCTAGAGGTTCTGGGCTCAATACACGGTAAGGGCTGGAATTTTTTCAGGTGGACTTGGACTTCTAGTATTTCCCCTAGTCTCTGATTAGTGAGATCAGACGCTCGTGTGCATTGTTGTGCACGTAAAAAAAAAATCCCTTGGCAGTTGTAAATCGAAAAGAGTAGCCTAGTGGCGCTGCCCAGACAAAATTTGGAGTTAAAAATCTGTCCAAAGTATTTCAGGATCCTCGATCGGTGCAACAAAACCTGTGCACTGTGCTGAGCTTCTTCAGACTCAGACTTGAGTTCGAAGAAAGAACGGAGCACTTATGGGTTACTACCCGTGTGCCGTGATGTTGATCCGTTATTCAAACATTAGATTTCAAACTTGTATAATGGTGTGTTAAAATCTGTAACCTTCGTGAAAATTGACGTGAACCAAGGAGCACATTCTGTGTATACTGTTACACAGACCGTCACTGCAGACGACAGCTGCAGACCTGGGCAACAGCAGACAACAGCTGCAGACCTGGGCAACAGCAGACAACAGCGGCAGACCTGGGCAACAGCAGACAACAGCTGCAGATATGAGCAACAGGAGACTACTCAAACCGACCTATTCTGATCCATTATCATCATCTAGTCGTTTACAGAATGTGGCTCACATTTAATCTCACTGGACAGATTTCTCTAGTCGTTTACAGAATGTGGCTCACATTTAATCTCACTGGACAGATTTCTCTAGTCGTTTGCAGAATGTGGCTCACATTTCATCTCACTGGACAGATTTCTCTAGTCGTTTACAGAATGTGGCTCACATTTAATCTCACTGGACAGATTTCTCTAGTCGTTTACAGAATGTGGCTCACATTTCATCTCACTGGACAGATTTCTCTAGTCGTTTACAGAATGTGGCTCACATTTCATCTCACTGGACAGATTTCTCTAGTCGTTTACAGAATGTGGCTCACATTTCATCTCACTGGACAGATTTCTCTAGTCGTTTACAGAATGTGGCTCACATTTAATCTCACTGGACAGATTTCTCTAGTCGTTTACAGAATGTGGCTCACATTTCATCTCACTGGACAGATTCTCGATCTTTCCTCAGTTCCCATCTCATACATTCCCATGTCCGTGGTGTCTGTGATGCACTAAAGCCACCGCTGTGCTGGTCGACCCCTGCTTTCGTGATCTAGAAGCATACATTTCATCACAATTCTCTGTAATCGGTGTGACATTTGATGTGACCAAACTGTTTCAGTTTACCAGACATAACGTTGTTAGTGAGCCGGTCCTCCTCCTCGCTGTTCTTCTTAGAGCTCACCATAAAATCTGATAGAAAGTTCCGGTCGTTCATCCGCTTCTGGTCTTTTGTCTTGTTCCAGAGATGTAGTTTTGAGTGCAAGTACATTTTCCAAATCTGGCTATTTGTATGGGGACTGCTGTGTCCTCGCCTCTCAGGCAGATACACTCCAACTTCTATGATTAGTTGCCTTGGACGTCATGCTTGTACGGTAAGGAGATGCTTGTGAGGCAGGCTGTGGGACTGACTAACCCCCTTCCCCCGCCCCCAACCCTCAGAACGAGGTCCAGTAATCTAGACGATGGTCTTCAATGCTTAAATCTTGTAGAATGTTAGAGTTTGCGTCGACTATTTTTCTTCTTTATCGCTGTCGTTGTAAGAATTCCAATGTTATATTTTAGTTCAAAAGTATCGAACTGTGTCTTTAATGTTCTGACACTATTGGCATACGTTAGCACAGGAAAGATGTATGTTCTCGCAGTACAAGGTCCGACAATGAAGTAATGAGACTAATTCCATGAAAATTAAAATAATTAACAGGTAAAGATATAACCTGTATCTGATTCAAAATTAGCCCCCCTGTGTAAGTGGCACGATCTAACAAACGCTGGAACGACCTCTGTAGTTCTTCTCTTGTTATGGCCCCTAAAATCGATGTTGCGTTCTTTTGGAAGTCATCGATATCGTTGAAAAAGCGTCCTTTCAATCGTAACTTTTATTTTGGAAATACAAATCACTTGTTTTGATGTCTCTTGGGTACTTAACCCACTGATGTTTGTGTATCACTAGAAAATGAATGTGTTAAAAACCGGCAAGCAACTTTTTTTCTTGCCATATTTTGCAATAAAGTGTTATGAATGGTCTCTCTTTTAACATAAGATTTATCTGCTATAATCCTTATTGTAAAACAATGATCTTCTTGAATCCGTTCTCTGACTTTTCCAGTGAATTGATCATTAAGAAGCGAAATAAGGCGTCCAAGTCTAGGTGCATTAGTAATCATTTCCCCACGACTTTTGAATCGTGAATACCACCTGAAAATGGGGGAAGGGGGGGGTGTGTTTGTTTGTTTGTATGTTTGTTTGTTTTTTGTTTGTTGGCCGGTAGACGACTTCGCATCCGGTTGGGACATTATTTGGCTCTGTCTTACGTGATCGCATCAACACCATGGCTACTTGGTGGCGAAGATTGCTACGCCATTTTATATGGCGCACATAACCTAGTCACAGTTATAACCTAAAGCTACCCTTTTAGGGATACAGGGTGAAAGCAAAACAAGGCAAGGACCTCGAGATGGCATGGTATGGTTACTTTAACAAAGACAAAAACAATGACAATGAAACTAAAATTAACAATATTCCGGTTCTAAACAATATTTTATTTACAGTATAATTGTAATGACATCAATAAAACATAAGTTTTACGGGGGAGAATATCAACATTGTGCTAGAATAACAACAACAAAAACAAGGTTTTTTTTTTTTCAAAAACATGCATACTATGTCGATAAACTAAATTTAGACATACATGCACACATATGTATATTTGCTAATTAATAACATATGATTTTGATTTACTACACAAGAGCGATATTGCTTATTTGCTTCTGAACCGTGGTTCTTTGAATAATGAGTGGCAATATTTTAGGTGTAATTCTACAAGATTAAAAAAAAAAGTTTCTTTTTTAAATATATTTTTTTGAGAGATGTGACACTTAACAGTGGGACTATTGTCGCTCGCAGCTGTTGTTGACCAGCATTTATTTCCGGTGGTCACACACATGTCAGAAATTTTACTTGCCAGACAGAGATGCGATATCTAATAGAGATACGTCAGCCAAGTGATTTTTTTGTCTTGTTTGTATTTGTTCACTTGTCGTTCGTGTTGATATTTTTTACTCGGGCTTGATATCTTAAGAGTGAGGCCAGAACACGGGTCATGTATGTGGTAGCAATACTGAATTGTAGTTAAGGAGCACAGACAAGCAAATGAAGTCCGCTCAATCACAAAAGATATGCTGGAGATCAGAGGCGTGACGACTAGCCAATGATGGGCGAGATGTTGATCTCGTATGTCTGGCAGGAGGTGGGGATGGTAAACACGCTCTGGTTGCTCACGGTGGGTGTCGGGTTCAGGTAGATGTACATGTTGGTGGTGCCATGGTAACCTGCAAACAGACAGACATCGCATCAAACACCTGCCATCAATCTTGTACCAAATGTTTGATTAATGTCTGTCAGGTCGGTCAGTGAGACAGACATCACGTCAGACATCAGCGGTCAGTCTTGTACCAAATGTTTGCATAGTGTCTGTCTTGTCGGTTAGTGAGACAGACAGAGCGCAAGCCAAACAGTTGGCAGATATAGTACGTTCATAAAGTCTTGCCGTTGTATTTTCAATATTTTCTCAGTAATTACTCGGCCGGCGTGAAGTTGGCCACATCACCCACTAAGTGCCAATTGGTCTGTAAAACATAGGTCTAGTCATACATTGCAAATACACCTGAAAGAGTGAATATGTAATTACTAAGTAATTTTGCTTTTCATGAGGGCCCAGGTAACATATGGGCGAACAACAAACTACAGGTCTATAACGACGTGTCTGTGGACTGAAGCCGATGCTTACCGTACTCTTGCGACATGATTGGCCAGTTGGGCTGCCCTCCGACCACGGAGAAGACGACTCTGTTGACTTTGTCGGTCTCGGTCTCAACGTCCCAGGTGTGCAGCAACATCTTCTCCGATGCCACGTGGTGCAGGTACCCCGAACCATGCGTCACGTATTTAGCGTAAGCTGTTGACAGATGAATGAAAGAATCTTCACGGTCAAGTATCAACTATTGTCACAATCACTAATTCGTTATACACAAAACGACCAGCGCCGGCAGTCAAAACAACAACAACAACAACCTCAAAGACAACCAGAACTACTACTACTTCTGCTGCTGCTACCGCTGCTGCTATTTCTGCTTTTACTGTGGCTGCAGCTACTACAACTGCTATTACAACGACTACTGTTATATATACATACACACACACACACATATATATATATCAAGGGTTTGTACTATTGGTGGTGGTGGTGGTAGTGGTGCTGATGGTGGTTGTGGTAGAAATAGTAGCAGAAGCAGCAGAAGATAAAAATAGCAAAGTGAAAGTGACTGGATGTACACATGACTGTTTGTGAGGAACGGGGTGAGCTGTGACTGGGTGTACACATGACAGTTTGTGAGAAATGGCCTGACTTGTGACTGGGTATACACATAACAGTGTGTAAGGAAAGGGGTGACATTTGATAGAGTGTACACATGACAGTCTGTGAGAAGTGAGGTGACTTGTTACTGTGTACACATGACAGTTTGTAAGGAGTGGGGTGACCTGTGACTGGGTGTATACATCACAGTTTGTGAGGAATGTCGTAACTTTTGATGGGTGTAAACATGCCAGTTTGTGAGGAATGCGGTGACTTGTGATGGGTGTACACATAACAGTTTCTGAGGAATGGCGTGACTTGTGACTGGGTGTACACATCACAGTTTGTGAGGAATAGCGTGACTTGTTACTGGGTATACACATCACAGTTTGTAAGGAATGTGGTGACGAATGACTGTGTGCACATGACAGTTTATGGGGAATGTGGTGACTTGTTATGGGTGTACACATAACAGTTTGTGAGGACTGGCGTGACTGTGTACACATACTTACGTGGTAAACACCTGTACATGACCTGGCTCTGCTGGAGCGTGTAATTCTTGCAAGTTGTGTGGTTGCCGGAGCCGGATATGGCGTAGGATTGTAGCTGTTGGATACAGAAAGTTGTGATCATTTATTTGTGGTAGTCAGAGAGTATATTAGCCAGTCTACACTATCCAGTGACTTGCTCGTAGTAGTAGTAGTGGTGGTGGCGGTGGTGGTGGTGGTAGTGGTAGCAGCAGTAGTAATAATATTACTATTAGTAGTCTAAGTAGAAGTAGTATTAGTAGTAGTAGTAGTGGTGGTAGTAGTAGTAGTAGTAGTAGTAGTAGTAGTAGTAGTAGTAGTAGTAGTAGTAGTAGTAGTAGTAGTAGTAGTAGTAGTAGTAGTAGTAGTAGTAGTGTAGTGGTGTAGTAGTAGTAGTAGTAGTAGTAGTAGTAGTAGTAGTAGTAGTAGTAGTAGTAGTAGTAGTAGAAATAAGGAGTGTAGCAGCAGCAGCAGAAGTAGCAGTTGTCGTCGTCGTTGTCTTCGTCGTCGTCGTCGTAGTAGTAGTAGTAGTAGTAGTAGTAAAAGTAGTAGTAGTAGTAGTAGTAGTAGTAGTAGTAGTAGTAGTAGTAGTAGTAGTAGTAGTAGTAGTAGTAGTAGTAGTAGTAGTAAAAGTAGTAGAAGTAATAATGGCGATGGCAGTAGTAGTAGTGTTTGTGGTGATGGTGGCAATGGTAGCAGCAATAGCTGCAGCAGCAACACGAGCAGGAGTATTGGTAGCGTTGGGGTTAGTAGTAGTAGTCGCCGCAGCAGCAATACCGACATTTGTTGTAGTAATGGCAGCAGTAGCAGCAGCAGTAGTTGTGGCGGTAGTGGTGGCGGTAGTTGTGGCGGTAGTGGTGGCGGTAGTTGTGGCGGTAGTGGTGATATTCTTCTTCTTCTTCGCGTTCACCGGCTGCAAACTCCGGTGGAAAGCTCTGGTTGTTCGTCCACGTCTGGACTGCAGTCCTGTTCCAGAACCTGAGTGTTGCGTGTGCATCCGTTTGACAGATCTGTATGCACACTGTTGGTTCCTTGCCTCTCGGGCAGATGCACCCGACTTCGAAGGAAGCTCCCAATTAGTCGACTCTTACGACATGCTTTTGGGTAGGCAGTGGGTCTATTCTTGTTTTTCCCATAGTTGGGCCCCGGAACCCACACGGGGAAGTGGTGTTATTGACAGCAGTCATTATAGCGATAACAGCAGCAGCAGTAGTAGTAGTAGTAGTAGTAGTAGTCATTGTGGTAGTAGCGGTGGTGTTGGTAGCAGAAGTAGTAAAAGTAGAAGTAGTAGTGTTGATAGCAGTGATGAATTTGACAGTTAATCTAGAACAACGAAATTCCGCCATATTTGCCTGCTGACCTTGGCAAAGTCGTGGATGTATTTGTTCGAACTCACAGAAGACACCTCCACAAATTTCTGCTTGGAAAAGTCCACGTAGATGAATCCCCGGTCCTGAAACAGAAAATAATCACCGTCAAGTTTACCCAGAATGCCTTGCCTAGTCAATGCTCACTCGCGTTTCTGTTGCCTTGTGCCTATAGAGACAATCTTTAGCTAAGTAAATTGCGTCATCGAACAAAAGATTTTTTTTTTTCATTTCATTGTATGTCTTTTTCTGATTTTAATATGGTGTTTATAGCCGTGGAAAAACACGGCCATTTACAGAGTCAATGAACTCTGGACTGTTAGAAGCGCCATTGTCAGGTTGACTATTCCTATCATAAATTTAAAGAATCAAGACAACGAACAAAGATACACTTGACATTAGTAAACTCTTCACATAGGAGAACCTTTTGTCCTCTCATACTTCCTTTAACTATTATTCTTTTCGTCTGTCTCACTGTCTACTTTTATATATTACCTGTCTTCTCTATCCCTCCTTAAAATGTACCTGTTACATTAACGGCACTAAACAGAACCGATAAACACAAAGAAATATCTGAAACAAACATATTCATCCCCATCCTGTGCCAGATGTTGTCACTCACAACAAACCAGGAAACAAAAGAATTATTGACCGTGTCTGAGAAAGGCTGCAGGAGTGTCCAGAAGAGATAACATCAGGCATAAAGTCGTAACAGAAAATGTCGGCACAGAACCAGCAACACACCCAACCAACAAAGCGCCTATCGAACCAATCGAACCAGCCACCCAACAATTCACCTAACCAGCCACCCAACAATTCACCTAACCAGCCACCCAACCACCCAACCAACCCACCATCCAACCAACATAAACAAAAAAGTCCTGACATAGTAAAGAGGCTTCTTCTTCTTCTTGTTCGCGTTTTCCAGCTGTAAATCTGGCGGATGCATGTGCAAATCAGACTCATTTGTATGCAGCCTGCTGGATCCTAGCCACACAGGCAGATGCACTCTGACTTCAAAGGAAGCTCCAAATTAGACTCTTACGACATGCTTTTAGGTGGGCAGTGGGTCTATTCTTGTTTTCCCTGTAATAAGACACCGGAACCCACACGGTGAGTGTAGAGATAAAAAAAATGGCTGTTAGCAGTCATAAGCAAGACAGGTAATTCACTGTCACAAAATTATTGTTACAAAATTCACTGTAAACTGTTTACAAGTTACAGTTGTCACTGTTTTAAGTTACAGTTGTCACTGTTTTAAGTTACAGTTGTCACTGCTTTAAGTTACAGTTGTCACCATTTTAAGTAACAGTTGTCACAGTTTTAATTTACAGTTGTCACCGTTTTAAGTTACAGTTGACACTGTTTTAAGTTACAGTTGTCACTGTTTTAAGTTACAGTTCCCACTGTCTTAAGCTACAGTTCTCACTGTTTTAAGTTACAGTTGTCACTGTTTTAAGTTACAGTTCTCACTGTTCTAAGTTACAGTTGACACTGTTTTAAGTTACAGTTGTCACTGTTTTAAGTTACAGTTCCCACTGTTTTAAGCTACAGTTCTCACTGTTTTAAGTTACAGTTGTCACTGTTTTAAGTTACAGTTCTCACTGTTCTAAGTTACAGTTGTCACTGTTTTAAGTTACAGTTGTCACTGTTTTAAGTTACAGTTCTCACTGTTTTAAGTTTTAGTTCTCACTGTTTTAAGTTACAGTTGTCACTGTTTAAAGTTACAGTTCTAAATGTTTTGAGTTGCAGTTGTCGCTGTTTTAAGTTACAGTTGTCACTGTTTTAAGTTACAGTTGTCATTGTTTTAAGTTACAGTTCTCACTGTTTTAAGTTACAGTTGTACTGTTTTAAGTTAAAGTTGTCACTGGTTTAAGTTTTAGTTCTCTTACCTCGGTGATCAAATTATAATATTCAGTTTGGAACACTGGAGGGTAACAGGCCGCAGTTGGATCCTGTCCTGTTACAGCCACAACGACCCCCAAAATTACTGACAATATTTCCAGGTACATTATTGCAAGTTTTCCTTCAGTTTACCCGTACAGATGAGAGTGGTCGGATCCTACAACGGTGAGAGAATCCCGGGTTTTCCCTGACAACAACACAGCTTATATACTTGTATCTATCTTGTCGTCACATCCTTTTTGACCAGTTCGATGTACGCGTCCTGCAGTGTAACCTGATATAGCTTTCAAATAATTGCGTGCTTTACTTTAAGTTATCAAAACAACTGTATCCGGGTTCAGGAATGCCGATAGGAAATTGAGTGGCTGTTTCACTGTAACATTGTCGCCAAGAGAAAAGGACCCGCTAGGATGCAACATAAAGTGCATTTAGACAGCCCTAGTGTCTTTGCGTGTCTGAGCAGTCAGTTAATGGGAAAGCGGATGTTTATAGCTCTGCTCAGAGTTGTTCTTTATCTCTGAAAGTCAATTTTAATGGCGATGTAACAGCTTAATTTCGGGCTAACTTAACTATAAACATAATAATCATTATCACGTGCCTTAGTGACTGGATTGTGCGATTATTTTTCTCCAGGTCTAATGATCGTTAACAACTTAAATCAGTTGGTGTGTTTGCATTTTCCCAGGCCAAAAGACTTTTTTTCTGCATGTTGTCGTCGAACTGAAACTTATAAACCTCTACAGATTTCATTGACGCTGTATCTTCTACTTTCGACCTATGCGAATTACCACCTATGTACTGACTCCAAGATATATTTCATTTTGTGTAGCGCCACGTCAAACGTGTTTACATTTGTAATGAACAAGTCGCCCAGATTTCCTTAACGAACATCTTACCTCAGTTATCAGATTGTAATAGTAAGTTTGGAAGACGAGAGGATAACATTCTGTTATAGGATTGGGAGCTTCCGCGAGCAGCAACAGTCCTACAAACACGCTACACAGTGCCCAAACCATGGTGCTTATCTGATGAGACCAGCACACTGCATGGAGCGATGAGTTTCACTGACAGTCTCTTCTTCTTCTTAGAGTTCATCGACTGTTAACTCCGGCGGAAAACTCTGGTCTTTCGTCCACTCCTGCACTTATCACTGACATGAAATCTTAAAAACTGAACTTTGAAGACAGTTAATATATATTTATGTGAATGTGTGCGTGTGTGTGTTTGTGTTCTGTCTGTATGTCCGCGCCTCTGTGGGCGCATTGCTACAATTGTAAAGTTTGTGAATAGTTCACATTTGTTATTTCGACAAATATTACACGCAACTGTTGATTAAACAAATGCCTCCGCCCAAAATGAACTCACTGACAATCATCAAATCAGTTGATTTGTCGCTTCAAACTGGCAAGTGGGCAAACCAGTGTTAATTAATTCGTTAACTGTTAGCGACACTGGACAAACGCAGACAGGTTGGTTGTCCCCGTCGTAGAGAGAAGTTGGTTAAGTTGGTTAGCTCGTCTGGGAGTCAACACTGGAAGCTGAATAAAAGTGACCGTCTCATCTTCAACAGATTGCAAAAGATCATATTAAAGCCACCGGGAAGGCTAACGCGGTCAACAAATGTCAGCAGAAATCGGATTTTAGCCGACAGGTGCAAATATCGCAGCCATGCTGTAAACGGACACAACGCAATTACATCTTCGCTTGAACGCCCGTCTTAGCTTCCTTCTCAGCCCAGCTGCTCGCCCGACAAAACTTCCTTTTCAGCCCAGCTCCCTGCCCGTCAAAGCTTTCTTCTCAGCCCAGCTGCTTGCCCGTCGAAGTTTCCTTCTCAGCCCAGCTGCCCGCCTGTCAAAGCTTCCTTCTCAGCCCAGCTGCCCGCCTGTCAAAGCTTTCTTCTCAGCCCAGCTGCCCGCCCGTCAAAGCTTCCTTCTCAGCCCAGCTGCCAGCCAAGGCTAAGATAAGAGACTCGCGAGAGCACCATGGGCACATCAAAAGCCTAGTGAAAATGCACGGCCATTTTAGATATAAAAAAAGATACAGATGGGCGTGTGAAAATGCTTGGCAAGAGTTAGCCAGTTAGTTAATTGACAGATTAACCTCATTGCACATCGGACACGTCCACAAGTGCTCGGATCCCATCTTCAGTATCTCCCTGAGCGTTTAACGACTGATTACACCTGTTCTGCGTTGGTTTACTATTCTTTTTTTCGCGTCCTGTATAGTGTTATTGTTTGGCGACACCTCTTTTGACCTGAAATTCTTGTAGTCGACTAAGTGTTGCCGTCTCATCATCGTCTCCCGATTCATCTTCTCGTCCTGCCTCCCTGAGAGCACTGGAAAGAGATGGCGTCGCAATTAGAACTGACTACCCACACAAGAGGAGGAGATGCACACACCTGGGCATGCTTTGAGCGAGAGAAACTGGATTAAGTCACGGCAACAGCAAAGTTGAGGCTCCCAAAATGAGGAAACGAAAGGATGTTAGTTTAGCACTGTGCTACTTCCCGTGTGGGTTCCGTGGTCCCGTTGTGTGGGGGGAGAACAAAAACAGGCTCACTGCCTCCGCAACTAGCATGTCCTAGGAGTCGACTAAGTGGTTGCATCCTTCGAAGTCGGGGCACATTTGCCTGAGGGGCAAGGAACGAAGAGCCTATGCACAAATAAGTCAGATCTGTGAAACGAGTGTGCACGCAACAACCAGGTTCTGGAACAAAACTAAAGTCCGGAGTAGGACAAACACCCAGAACTTTCCGCTGAAGGTTGTAGCCAGTGAACTCAAAGAAGAAGAAGATAAAGCACTGTGGTAAAGTTATAGGAGATGAACATACTTCACTGCGGGCAGGTTGCCTGCCTTTCAAGTGCTCCGTTCCTGTTTATTGGGGTTTTTTGACGGATCAACATTGTGGCACACGAGTGTAACCTATAAGTGCTCTATTCTTCTTCTAATTCAAGCCTGAATCTTAAGCATCTCAGCGCAGTGCACGAGCTCCGTGAAATACTCTTGAAATACTTTGTGTCCATTTTTAGCTCCAGATTTTGCCCGGGCAGTGCCGTTAGGCTCCGTTCGTGTACCAGTGGAAATCTAAAAAAAAAATATAATTCATTAACGGTCACATTTTAAAACTAGTGAAAAACTTGTCAGTCTTAGCAACATCATGAAGGTTGCACACGTAAGTTAGAAATGTATAAGACGCTGTGCATGAGGATAGGTCTTACCAGCAATGAAGGACGTTACAGGAGACATAACGCTGCGGGTAAGTACGATGACCAAAGCTATACAGCGTGGACAATGAGGAGAAGAAAGGTTGACCATATAAATGCACTGAGTGGAATGTAAACCGTGCACAACAGTGTAATTAAGCGGCAGGTCAGGGGTCACAGCACAACCGTGCTGACACTGTTGTTCCTGGGTGATACTGTAATTATCTGCGACCTTTCATTAGTGCATTGGGGTGGAGCCGGTAATGGGATAAATGCACTTAGTGGCAAGGACATAGCGGTTGTTGGGAAAACTGAAAACTGAACATGAAGTAAAACAAAAGAAAGCAAGGGACGAGGAGTAAACTTAAATATAAAGTAAAATAAGTGAGAGAGAGAGAAAGAGAGAGACAGGGAGAAACTTAAACATGAGGTAAAACAAGAGAGAGAGAGAGAGAGAGAGAGACGGAGAGAAACTCAAACATTAAGCAAAACAAGAGGGACAGACAGACGGAGAAGGAGAGAGACACAAACATGAAGTAAAACACGAGAGAGACAGAAGGAGAGAAACATAAACGTGAAGTAAAACAAGAAAGAGACAAAGAGAGAAAGAGAGAAACATAAACGTGAAGTAAAACAAGAGAGAGAGAGAATGAGAGAAACATAAACATGAATTGAAACAAGAGAGAGAGAAGGGCATAAACATAAAGTAAAACAAGAGAGAGAGAGAGAGAAGGAGAGAAACATAGACGTGAAGTAAAGCGAGAGAGAAATAAGGAGAGAAACATAAGCATTAAGCAAACCGAGAGAGAGGGAGAGAGAGAAGGAGAGAAACATAAAGTAAAACAAGAGACAGTGAGAGAGAGAGAAAGAAAGAGAGAGAATGAGAGAAACATAAACATGAAGTAAAACAAGAGAGACAGAGAGTGACTCAAGCATGAAGAATAAATGAAGAATAAACCCAAGAAAGTCGGAGGCAGAAGAGAGAGAGAGAGAGAGAGAGAGAGAGAGAGAGAGAGAGAGAGAGGGAGGAGACAGTGAACAACAAGAGACACCTAACCACAGCGAGAATGACAGAGAGAGAGATACGACGATGTTGTCACAGATTAGATGAAGCAGAGATGCACAGAAAGACAGGACATTACACAGAGTGAAAGACATTTAGTCAAACTCAGTGAGAGAGTGGGAGAGAGTGCGGGAGACAGCAATATGAAAGAAACACTTAGAGAAAGACTCAGATAAACAATGAAATAGACGGATGTACACACAGACGAACAGGGAGACATACAAACCCTGGTTAGCAGAGTCTGTCTGTGCTAGATATCAGGGTTGCCGACCGCCTTGTCTGATATCTGTGTTATTGCGTCGTTGGTGCAGAACGACGCCTTGACGGGACATTCCGAGGTCGGTTCATTTCCGGGTTTTGTTGATCAGATCAGAGTTGTGTTTGACTCGTAGGTTCTGGGACACACATACACTGAGATACGCGCGCACGCACACACCCTATACACACACCACACGTACGCACCCTGCTGTCTGTCTGTCTCTCTGGGTCTAGGTAAGAGGGAAGGTATTGGGACACGCCTGCACACGCGCGCGCGCATCCACACACACATATACACACGCACACACTTAAGCGCGCATACCAACACACGTCACCACATTTTCACACACACATACACACCACATACTAGGGAAGGTGAAAAAATCCACACCTGCACAGTCGTGGCGGCAGCACTAGCCATGCGGTCCTAAATCCTCGGGCTTATAGATGTGGTTTCAGATTTATCATGTCTATATTTCATAGTTGTGGATTTCAAGCTCTACGATAGCCATGTCAAATGAAGACTTTTTTTATGAATGTCTAGTTGGTCATTTTCTTAGTGCGCTTGTTTCCATAGCGAGGCGCACACACCATCTGGAGATAACAGGTTCGATTCCGGCACGGTAAATATAGCCTTCGATTTGTATGTTTTCTAGTGTGTCCTTCTATCTTTCTACTTCTTTCTATGAGTGCCAGTCAATTCATTTTTTGTTTAATGTATATGGGGGCCTACGTGGTCTCGAAGCATGGTATTCGCCTCGAATGCTAGAGGTCCCAGGTTCAAGCCCTGGTGAGGGCTGGGATTTTTTTCACGTAAACGTCTAGTAATTTTCACTGGTCTCTGGGTAGTAAGACTGGACGCCTGTGTGTATTGTTGCGCTCGTAACAAAATCCCTTGGCAGTTGGAAATGGAAAAAAGTAGCTTAACGGCGCTGCCTGAGCAAAACTTAGAGTTAAAAATCTACCCAAAGTATTTCAGGATCCTCGCCGGCGCATTAGAGTTTGTGCACTGCGCTGAGAATTTTCAGACTCAGGCTTGAGTTAGAAGAAGAACGGAGCACTTCAGGGTTACACCCGTAGGCCAAGAGTGTGATCCGTTGAATAAACATAAAAAGAATATATTATATATATATCCAGACTTAAAGACCCCCCCCCCCGCCCCCCCCCCCCCTCCCCCCCTGGTCAACACTGCTAAGGTGGTAATGACATGCATTAATAGCAGGTGATTGGGAAGGACGTATTAATTTGAGTCCACTAGAACAGTGGACTGTCTCGGGAACTCCGTGATTTACCTTTGTGGGGAATTCTCCTTCTTCTTGGCGTTCACTGGCTTTAAACTCCGGTGGAAAGTTCTGGTTGTTCGTCCACTTCTGGACTCTAGGCCTATTCCAGAAACTGAGTGTTAGCTTGCACATCCGTTTTTCAAGTGTGACTCATTTTGCATGCAGACTGTTCGTTCCTTGCCTCCCATACCTCTGTCTTGAAAGGAAGCTCCAATTTAGTCGACTTTTACGACATGCTTTTTGAGTAGGCAGTTGGTCTATTCTTTTTTCCCCCACAATGGGGCCCTGGAACCCACACGGCGAAAAAGTGCCTTGCCTATAAACATGGTGTTCCCAACGGTCACCTATCTAAGTACTGATCACGTGTGGTGAATTTAAAATAAAGTACCTGAATGTCTACATGTGTCTCCTATTACTGATATTCAAATTTAAAAAAAAAATAAAAAAAAAGATTAAAAAAAAAAAATAATGAAAACGGATATGAGAACGTTCGTGTATACATTAATTTTCTGAAAACTGAGTTTGAAATATGTCCGGTGGAACGGCATAAACACAGACAACGATGACGTGAAATGGTTGGGCCAGTCCTACACGATCAATGTTAACGTCAATATTCATTCATTCGCTGGCTAGCTATCTGGGTTGAACTTGGATCAGAAATTAGTCAGCTTGTCAGGTTCTAACACCCACACAGGATATATGTCGCTCTATGGTGTTGGTAACGACAAGGTGTCGTGGAAACACACGCGGCTGTATTGAACGAGATTATCATTGTTATCTTTAAGTGCCTTGCCGACTGGCGTAAGTGATCATGCCTCTCCACAATCTGCGATTCACGGCTGCGTGTATCGGTTCGTGTGTTGACACCCGTCCGGCAATGATAAAAGGCTGTCAATAATCTTCTCATGTTGTCTTCCTCTGTCTACAGATCTTCCCAGTGGTCACAATATGTTCCATTTTCTCTCTTCTTATAACATGACTTTAAGAAAAAAATAATGACTGTCTCTTTCTAATGTTTGTAATAAGTTGTCTCCCAGCACTCACCTCTTTCAAAACATCTGGGTAACCGGACAGATAACACGGTCATTAAATGCCCGCAGAAGTCGGATGTGTTGGCCGAAAGATGCAAATATCGCAGCCCTGCTGTAAACGGACACAACGTAATTACATATTCGGATAAACGCAGAAGAAGAAGAAAAAGAAGAAGAAGAAGAAGAAGAAGAAGAAGAAGAAGAAGAAGAAGAAGAAGAAGAAGAAGAAGAAGAAGAAGAAGAAGAAAAAGAAGAAGAAGAAGAAGAAGAAGAAGAAGAAGAAGAAGAAGAAGAAGAAGAAGAAGAAGAAGAAGAAGAAGAAGAAGAAGAAAACATATGGGTTGCTCTTTTTGGCTGCAACAGGCATTCTGAGGATTGTTCTGTAAAACCACATCTCCGATGCCTCAAAATATTTTTCGGCTCGTCCGGGATTCACAATCGTGTGTTAAAACTGGATCTATATAGCGAGCAAGAAATATTTTCCCAACCTTCCAATACATGTGAATTCTATGCGTAAAATTTTCTTTATTTTGTAAAATGCAGCTTTGACTGTGTTACTCTTTATCATACAGCTTCCGTCGGATGTTATACGAATGATAAACAGTATATCTGGGGGGGGGGGGGGGGGGGGGGACGCTGTGTGGTCTTGAGGCATGGTGTCTGCCTCGATTTCTCAAGGTTCTGGGTTCAATTCCCGGTAAGGGCCGGAATCTTTTCACGTAGACTTCTAGTAATCCCCCCTGGTCTCCGTGTGCATGTAAAAAATCCCTTGGCAGTTGGAAATCGGAAAAGAGTAGCCTGACGGCGCTGCCCGGGCAACATTTTCTATTTAAAAATCTACCTAAAGTATTTCAGGATCCTCGCTAGTGCTACAGAGCCTGTGCTCTGTGCTGAGCTTCTTCGGACACAGACTTTTGAGTTAAAAGAAAAACGGACCACTTATGGGTTACTACCCGTTTGCGATGATGTTGATCCGTTGATCAAAACCTCAAACCTTAAACAGTATCTTCTTCTTCTTCTTCTTCTCTTCCACCATGTACTTCATCGAAGTGTCGGGGGGAGATGTAATATTCGTTGATGAGCTCTGTCAAGAGCGCTATTAAGACTGTTGTTCGTTTCTGTAAGGCTGTTCCTAATGCCATCACTCCATATTTTCCGAGGTCTTCCACTCGCTCTATACCTATTGTAATGTTTTAGTGTGGCTCGCTGTGATAGATAGTACCAGGACATTCTTGTTAGGTGTCCAAACCACTTCATTTGTTCTTAAACAGTAAACCGGTTGTAATTGTAAAAGCAGACTACGTGACACTGTGAAGCTGTGAAGCTAAGGGAGGGAACTTTATGTTTCAGGTGTGACTTCATGTGTCAAAGTTTGGTTTTTTATGTTGAAGGTTCAATCTGCAGTTTGTGCTGGTTGTACAAGACTTGATATTTCTCCCCAGGTCTGTTGAAACCCAAAAACACCAAGGACAACACGGAACGAATCAAGAGGATCGAGGACAAGTTTGGACAACTCATGGAAATTAATGAGGTAATTTTTTTTAACCGTTATCTCCCCTGTATCGTCTCTCTCAATTGGGACGTATACCATATTCTCTCCTCTCCCCCCAAACCCCCTTTTTTTTCCCTTTCCTTTCCCCTTTCCTCTTGGATGTTTTCCAGATTTTATAATCCTAGTTTAAGAGCATTATAATAATTATGCAGAATAGTAAATGAATATATTATTACATTACAAATAATATGACATATGTGAACAAACATCTCTGCAAGGAATTTCAAAATGTACATAGTTTCAGGGAGCCAGTTTAGTCTTCTCATAATTAGTCTTCATTTTTATTCCTTACGTCCTTCTTAGGACGTAGTTTTTTGTTATTGGAAGCCCCACTATGGCTTTAGCAAGGGGCCGCAATATAGGCAGGCCATCAATATGGCGAATAGTCTGAACGCGGTTTCTGGGACCTCTCCACGGTGATCCTCATCCGCATGGTGGCACTTTGTGTCATCGGGTGTTTATTGCTTGTGTGATGTCCTGGTGGGGTAGAAAGTCAATCAGTCAGTCTTCTCATAAAATTATGGGATATATTTAGGGGGGGGGGTGTCGTCAGCACTTCCCTTTCCCCCTTTTTTTTAAAGGATCGGTGTCCTCTTGTTTGCCCTCTAACTGGGACTATGAATCCCGTAGTTTACATCCGCGTGTTGTCCGCGTGGTGCTGTTATGTCTGCCTGTGTTACGGAGCTGAGTTATTTCAAGAACCGATATCATAGCACTCGTTGGCATTCCCAAAGGCGGCCCATTCCCATCCTCAGCAGCCAGTGCAGAGTTTTACTAGCAGTGGTGCCAGTAACAGTCTGATTATACGTCGGTCTTGTTATTATTCTCAACAGCATCATGTGCCGTGCCAGTAAGAGTAGGCTGTTACGTTTTGCCATCTCATTCAATTACCATAACCACTGGTCTCGCACAATCGCTGTAGTCGGGGCCATTCAGGTATTTGTCTCTTTTCCTTGCTCTCTTTTCAATAATCCCGTTTTCATCAAGCTGTCTTGTCCACTTCTTTGAACATGTTAAGCAACACTGACTGGCTACATCTGTTTGTTCTGATATGTTCACGACTTTGGTCCGCCTCGACGAGGACTGCTTTGTTGTTTGTTTTTCTACCCCTCCATGACAGTCTTTGCCCTCTTCTCGGAAACCACGTCTCTGCCGCTTGTAAATATTATTTTTAATTTGTCTGCTTATTGTCAATACCTGATAGACATATTATAACACAGGATTAAAAGTTAGTTGCGTATCCTTTACAGGACGTTGCAGAACCAACCCTAACAGCCCCTGGCTGTTGTGTGGTTTCTCTAGGCAATTTACATCCAGTAGTTTGCCATTGCTTTCTGGACGGTCGGCTTTCTTGATACCACTGTCGAAACCAACGCAAGGCGCGTTGCCCGCAGCTGGGATCGAACCTGGCATCCCGGCATTACGAAGCGAAGCGTTCGCATCGACTTAGCCACAGAGCCGACTAACACAGGATTACATAACACTTTAAGACTGTTTTTTTTGTTTGTTCTTATTTGTACAAATCTGTTGCATCTTACTAAAGGCAACTTTTGTCATGACGGTTCTTGTTCATGGTTGTTAGATCTATTTATTTGCTTGGATTTTGCTGTTAGGGTGTAATTCTCACTTTGGTATTTCTTTCTTTTTGACAATGGGTATGATTTCCGTTTTCTTACAATTTAACTTTGAGCCGAGTTTCTCACTGTGAAATAAAACTGGTCACGTTCAACCAGCATCCCCTAGGAGGCAGCTTTAGGTTATAATTGTGACTAGGTTATTTGCGCTATGCTAAATGGCTTAGCATTGCTCACCACCATCTAGCCCTAAAAAAAAGGACTCCTGCATTGTTGATGCTATCTAAGGAGACAGAGCAAATACTGTCCCGACTGGCAAAGTCGTCTACCGGCGAGACAATGGGTGAACAGGTAGCCTATTTTGATCTTCTTTATTGTCTGCAATTAACACTGTATCATATGTACTAAACGCATTGAATATGTTGCTGTAGTAGGCGCTATATGTGGTTGCCAGTGAACATGTTTTGTTATGAGCTCATGTGACAGTGGAGGATGTATAGCTAGCATGACAGCGGCAGTTGGAAGACATGGATGACGTCCAAGTCCACGTGAAGAAATCCTAGCCCTTACCGGGCATTGAACCCGCCACCTCTAGCACTCGATACCATGCAGCTCCCACAATGTGTGTATCAAAATAGAGTAAAGCAAACTAGACACAGCATCATCAATCACAGGTCCTATACAGTCTGGTAGTCTGGTAGTCTTAGTTTCAGCTTCATAGCAAACGGGTCACCCCATCTTTGCTCCGCTCCTGTGCCAACGAAAAACACACAGAATGTTTATCACAGTATTAGAATTACAGTTCATCATTGATGGTAGCAGAAGTCGCCAACAGATCAGCAGTTGCCCACGCGATCAATTTTAATCACATACGGGCACCACAACACTGTACGACAGGCATCGCGCCATTTTCTGAATCTACAATTCACACCAACACGTTGGTCACAGTCGAAAAACCATTCCAAATGCAATCCGCAGCTCACAGGGTCACGCCATGCATTCAACTCAGAAGCTGGGCGACGAAACTATATCCAGTCTACAAATGGAACAAAAATGCATTGGCCACCGTCCGGGAGAAGCAAAAAATTTGCCTCTGTTTCGAACAGTGCCGCTGCATAACGTCCATTATGACCGGAAGTCCTATACAGAACGCCGCTCTCGTCATGGTACTCATGAAAGTCTCTCTTTTCTAGCTACTTTCCCGCCCTGTCTGCTGAAATAGTAAATGCATCTTGAATGTCCTTTATCCACTTTCGGAACACTGCTTTATCTTACAGAAACGGTACCCTCGATCACAGTTCTGTCCAGGCCACCATGACCTTTAACATGACCAAAACACCTCAGCTTTCGTGAGACGATGCTGTGTACGAGCCAGTTCTCCTGGAAGTTTAGAGCATGTACAATGTCAATGTGATATGTAAAGTCTTTGATCTTCCGGTGTGGTACAGTGTCAATATGATGTGCCAAGTCTTTGATCTTCCGGCGCTGTACAGTGTCAATGTGTTATGTCAAGTCTTTGATCTTCCGGTGTGGTACAGTGTCAATGTGATGTGTCAAGTCTCTGATCTTCCGGTGTTGTATGTTTCAGATTAAAGGAAAAATACGAAAAGGTATCGGAAAGCCAGGGGAAGCCATCGTCAAGGCGGCGGTAGAGGAAGGCGCCACAATGATCGTGACCGGCACTAGGGGATTGAGCAAGCTCAAGAGGGCCTTTGTGGCCAGCGTCAGCGATTACGTGGTACACAATTCTCCAGTACCTGTGATTACCTGCAGGCGACATTAAGTTGTGTCACTTTGTAAAAATGTTAAGTTTTTGTGTGTGTAAGCGCGCGCATTTGTGTGCGTGACTGTGTGTGTATGTGTGAGTATGCTTGTGTAACTGCGTGCATTGTCAACTAAATAATTTATCGTGTGGGTTTCGTGGCCCCATTGTGGTGAAAACAAGAATATACCCATTGCCTACCTATCAAGCATGTCGTAAGAGTCGAGTTGTTAGGGGTTTCCTTTGAAGTAGCAATGTATCTGCCTGAGTGGCAAGAAACCAACAGTCTACGTACCGGCTGCAAACTCAGGCAGAAAATTCTGTTTGTTGTCCACTTCAGGACTTTAGTCTTGTGCCAGAAATTGAGTTTTGTGTGCACGTCGATTTTACAAACATGGCTTATTTGTATGCAGACTGTTGGTTCCTTGCTTCTCACGCACTCCGTCTTCAAAGGAAGCACCTCTAATTATTATATGTTTACGGCTTGTTACGTGGGTAGTGGGTATATACCTTTCCCCCGCCCCCCCCTCATTTTTTCCCGAACGCATACAAGAAATCTCGTGAACCGTACAACGCAGTCGTAAACCGAACCCACAGCCTTCCGAACGTGAGGTAAACGGTGTAGGACAGTTGAAGACATCAGAGTATGCTTTAGTGGGATGAACCAATCATAAACCATAACTTTCTCGTGACTAAAGAAGTTAGCTCCCTTTAGAGTTTGTGGCCCAACAGGCCCGCATCGTCTTGGTATTACTGCAGTTCTCGTCTCAGACTGTTTGTGTTGGAACTTCTGACGGCTGCTTGTGCATTTAATGCGCGTGCATAATGTTGGATTTGCTAAGATTGCAGAGGGCAGTTATGGATATTCTGTGTGGTTTTCGTTAGCACAGGAACGGGGCAACTGTGAAGTTAGAACTGCGATTACTTAATTACTGCAGCTACATTGGATACATTGCTGATGTCCTAGTTCTCTTCAGCAGAAGTAGGATTTTTGTCAAACGTAATATTATGGAGCCCAGGGTTTACAACCGGTTCGGTCATGTCAGCTTTCTCCGTTCGTGTTTCTCCGTGCGAGAGACATATATCGTATATCCCCGAGTATAAGACGTACTTATTTTCAAAAAAACATGTTATATATATATATATATATATATATATATATATATATATATATATATATATATATATATATATATATATATATATATTATACAATGGTTGTAGATTTGTACAGAATGATTTATTAGAAAATTACAGGGCCTCATTGTCAGAATGCCAGTTCAAATGCAACCTGAAATAGAGAGAAAAATGGCCAATTGTAGGAAGAGTTTGTAGCCGGGTGAGATGATCCTGGGATAATGCGAGGATTGAGATCGTTGTCCAGTCATTCAAGAAGTGTGGCCTCTTAAATGTCCCAGTTGGAACTGAGGATGGGACAAGATGTATAGACAACGATCTGTCATCAGACACCGGTGAGGACCAGGTAAAGAACTATCATATAAATGGATGAGAGGTTTGACAGTAATCAATTTTCGGGATTCTTTGAATAAAACAGTTCAATAACTTTACGTAATAATGTTACTGTTCCCCCAAATTTCCGACTCCAAAATCAAGGTTCGTCTTATACATAGGATTATCTTCTATTTTGGGGAAATACGGTATGTGCCTTTTGCTGATGTTTTTTATAACATGTTTTGATGTCTTAACCTTTTTCAACTCAATCACAATTCGACTTTCTAAGAACGACCATTAACGATAAAACATTGCTAAAAAAAAAAATGTCCCATACAAAGAGTTTTTAAATGGGTAGAAAATTTTTAGGCAAGAGAAAAAGTTGGCAAGAATGAACAAACAGTTTATGTTAGCTTAACAAAATCGATCACAAAAAACAAACAAAGGACGTTGCGGCCATTGGCCTTCATTAGCACATTACGAACAACACAGTACACATACACAAATATGCTCTGAATATCAAGTGACTACATAGGACTCTAATGTACAAAATAAATGATACTCATCTGTGTCCCTGGCGAAAAACTTCGTTCAAGAGGATGACTAGGTCAGTTACTAGCCTATATATCACCAACGCGCGGGCCGGGAGCGAAAAACGGGGTCAGTATACCCCGGAAATGGGCGGAGTAGACGCCCACTGACACACCGGCGTACACTGAGTGTCTAAAGAGGAACGGAGGGGTATACAAAGAGACATTATTTTTATTCATGTTTATTTAGGAATATGTGCGTCTGTTTGGATAACTACAAGTATCAAACTGTTTGAAAATGTGATTGAATTTACTGACATCATGCGACTGTTTAATTGGGAACTTTGTGTTTTGGTTCTCTCAGAGCTATACATATTTGATGACGTAAATAGGGAGTTACGGCATTCAAGCTGATGACAGGAAGTGCTAACATCAAATGTTGCTAAAAAGCTCACGCAGCGAATGTAGAAGAAAGACATACTCAGTTGTCTTGTCCGTTGAGTTGTACAGTCACTGTTCATATTCTGTTTAGCACTTCCTTTGAGAAGGTAAAACGTTCGGTTGTGTATGTGCGCCTCTTTTCCATTCCCTGCGTTAAGTTTTCTAGTCATATTTTATATTACTTAACACTTTATGAATTTCTGACAACTGTTACGTTATTAATTATTTATAAAGCACATGCAGTATGTTTATTAATATAAACAATTCACGTTATGCTGATGACACAGTCTTGATAGCAACAAGTCAGAAAGACGTACAGAAAATGATAGACATTGTGGTGGTAAAAGTGGAAGACTGGGCCTCAGTTTCAAAAATGGAAAGAGAAAAGTATTGATGGTATCAAAGAAAAGAATTTTTCCAATATGTGTAATGAAAGTCAATGGTGTTATTTTGGAACAAGTACAGAAATTTAAGTATCTGGGCACATGGATGACAGCAGATAGAAGATGCATTACTGGGATAAGAAACAGAATAGGAAAGGCAAAAACTGCATTTTATTAAAAAAATAAAGAACATCTTGTGCAATATTTGTTTGTCATTGAGGGTTAGAAAAAGAATTCTTGCTTGCTACATACATCCAGTTTTAACATATGTATGTGAGTCCTGGACAGTCGGTAGGCAGGTGAAACGATTTCTTGAGGCCTCAGAAATGTGGTTTTACAGAATAATGCTTAAAATACCTTGGACAGTCAAAAAGAGCAACCAAGAGATTTTAAAAGAAGTGGGAGCCCGAAGACAGCTTATCACAGACATCAGAAGGCGACAGTCATAATTTATCGGCCATGTTTCAGACGAGGGAAAATGGAGCATGTTGTGACCACTGGAAAGATCTGTGGAAGGAAGGATAGAGCAAGACAAGAAAAGAAGATTCTTGTTGCATGGCGTGGGGAGTTGTCAGCACACAAACTGATACACGCTGCAGCAGTTTGCGGATTGTTTAGAGGCATGATCGCCCACGCCAGTCGGAAAGGCATCTATAATGATTTTGTTTGTTTCTATAGAGTTTATTTAAGGGCTGGGAGGGGGAATGGTTATGTCATGTGTTGTGTTGTGTAGAAGGGAAGCATCATGAAGGTTATGAGAATGAGTGAAGACATGATTGCAGAAAGGCTGGCAACTGAACGTCTGAAAAGAAACCTACTAAACACAAATGTTGACAACAACGGTCCTGAAATCCCATGCTATAAATGTGGAAGACTTTACTCAACACAGGCGGGTCTTGCTAGGCACACTCGCCATCGCCATTGGCTGTGACGCCTATGCCTCCTCACAGAGCAGAATAGCAATATCGTCTGGAAAGACGGAAACATGCCAGTCAAATATGGAAAGAATACAAACGAAAAAAAAAGTTACTAACTGAAATAAAATAACAGATAATTGAAATATTTTGGTGACAATCAAAGTCGTAACACTCTTGAAAAGGCATACTGGAGGGAAAAGTCGAAGACACAATAGCGAGAGGCAGATAACGATACAAGTGGTAAGATAACGTGAAGCAATGGGCGAACAGCAGTCTGAGAGAGTGTACAACCAGGACAAGAGACAGAGCTTGCTGGAGATCCATTGCAGCCAACCGTCACTGTGGAGACGGCACCTAGTTGATTGCTTGAAATCCATTTCTAAACAAACAAAATACTGTCGGAGAGGAAGCTTTCAGAACCAGGGGTCAATCTTCGTGTTGTTTTTGGCAGCATTCCTCGATCTTTTAACTCTCGCGGCCCACCAAAACAGGGGTTAAGGTTTCGCCGCCTACCAAAACAGGGGAAGATGTTTTAGTGCCTACCAAAACAGGGGAAGATGTTTTAGTGCCTACCAAAACTGGGGAAGATGTTTTAGTGCCTACCAAAACAGGGGAAGATGTTTTAGTGCCTACCAAAACTGGGGAAGATGTTTTAGTGCCTACCAAAACAGGGGAAGATGTTTTAGTGCCTACCAAAACTGGGGAAGATGTTTTAGTGCCTACCAAAACTGGGGAAGATGTTTTAGTGCCTGCCAAAACAGGGGAAATGTTTCACCGCCCACCAAAACAGGGGAAGATGTTTTAGTGCCCACAAAACAGGGGTAATGTTTCACCGCCCACCAAAACAGGGGAAATGTTTCATCGCCCATTAAAATAGAGGAAATGTTTTGCGGCATACTAAATCAGGGAAAAGTGTTTCCAAGCCAAATAAAACAGGGGTAATGTTTCGCAGCACACTAAAACAGGGGAAAGTGTTTCCCAGCCCACCAAAACAGGGGAAAATATCTGGCGGCTAAGCTGACAGCTAACTCAACAGAGAAACAAAAACAAATGTAGATAACAATTTATTTCCTAAATCCGATGTCACAACATTACAGTTTTCAGCGAATGTGACATCTGGTATTGCTCAGCGCTTACAAAAATCTGACATATATGGCTGGAGCGTCACTTCTGATAGATAAAGCACTGTTACAATATCAATTTTATTTCTCCATTTGGTTTTTTATTATTGCCATGCCTGAGACATTCTTTTCATACAGACAGGTCGTCCCTGGGGCATCGATTCTACACACTGGAAGAGAGCAACCAGCTAACGTACCTCGTTACTTGATTAGGCAGACTCAGTAACATACTTAGTAACATAGTAACAGACACGGTAACAGACTTAGTAACAGACTCAGTAACCGACGCGGTAACAGACTTCGTAACAGACTCAGTAACAGACAGTAACAGACTAAGTAACAGATTCAGTAACAGACAGTAACAGACACGGTAACAGACTTAGTAACAGACAGAAACAGACACGGTAACGGACTCAGTAACAGACAGTGACAGGCACAGTAACAGACTCAGTAACAGACAGAAACAGACACGGTAACAGACTCAGTAACAGACAGAAACAGACACGGTAACAGACTCAGTAACAGACAGAAACAGACACGGTAACAGACTCAGTAACAGACAGAAACAGACACGGTAACAGACTCAGTAACAGACAGAAACAGACACGGTAACAGACTCAGTAACAGACAGAAACAGACACGGTAACAGACTCAGTAACAGACAGAAACAGACACGGTAACAGACTCAGTAACAGACAGAAACAGACACGGTAACAGACTCAGTAACAGACAGAAACAGACACGGTAACAGACTAGTAAGAGACAGAAACAGACACGGTAACAGACTCAGTAACAGACACGGTAACATACTTAAAAGGCACAATGAGGGACAGGTATGTTTCGTGCAGAGGGGCATGCTTCGCTTCGAGGATCACAGGTGATATTTTCTCCGTTATGCCGGTGTGACGGGAAATTAACAGGCGGCAGACCGGCTGGCTCTGCACAGTTTGGTGGAATATTTATGCATGATAAGGCAGACGTGGTAAAGATCTTATGGGAGGATGGATACAATTCGGATCAGCAAACTGATCATCACAGTCTGGAGAGAGTGATGCAGCGATAAGTGACAAGGGGATCTGGCTGATATCGACGCTCAGAGGAAAGGCAAGACGGACATATGATCAGACTGCTACTGTCTCTATTGGTTTTGGAACTCTGCGTTCGCTGCTGAAGATGAGGATGGGCCGTTTATGGAAATGCTCGAAGCCCTGTGATGTCAGTTCTTGAATCAACTGAACTCATGATTAAGCAGAATTTTTGGCAGCCCACGGAGACATTTCCGCGCCACATTAGTGTGCCGTCGCCCCTGATCAATTATGCACAGTGTGGTCTACAATGATTGGCTGACGGTGATGTGGTGTCCAGGTACGCCTGGGATCTTGTCTACAACTGTTGCTTGTTCCCTGACGTCATAATTGTATGTACTTTCTCTAAATAAATGTCGATAAATAAATGCATCTTTTAGCGAGACATTGGACATCAGAGCGTCTTCTTGTCAATATTGGATGATATCGCAAATGTTATTGAATGAGTTATTAAACAGAACGAACTAACGAACGAACTTTTATCTTCAATTCGTTACAAACTGAGCACATAGTCCCGTCTTACATTCAGCCCTTCCAAACATGTCAATATGTGATTCATTCATTCATTCATTCATTCATTCAGGGGGCTGTATGGTCTCGAGGCATGGTGTCCGCCTCGAGTGCTAGAGGTTCCGGGTAAGGGCTGGGATTTTTTCACGTGGACATGCCCTTGCAAAGTGTGAAGTTCAAAATCTCTATTTCAGGATCCTCACTGGTGCTACAGAGCCTGTGCACTATGCTGAGCTTCTTCGGACTCAAACTTGAAGAACGGAGCACTTATGGGTTACTACACATTTGCCGTGATTGATCTGTTGTTCAAACCTCAACCTCATTCGTTCAATCATTGATCATTACTACTTTCTGGCGTAAAGTCTTCTTCGCCAGTTGAAATGGACAAATCACATGTATTACCTCGGGACACACACATTCTCAGTTTAGACTAGCAATGTTAGGCAAGAAGGGTTAGCAGTAATGAAGTGTAGCATCTAACAATACACAAGATACGGTCAACTGATGTATAGGAATGTATTCAAAATAGAGGCCTCTATATGGTGATGATGTAATAGGAATGTAGTGAAGGTGGCCGGCATCTTGTGATGCTGGTCCGACAGTCTAGCGGTAGCCGCTAGTGGCTGAGCTGCACGTTGTCCTTGCTCCGGCACACCAGGACCGGCACGTGTGAGTGGTGGAGGACGCTGTCGCTGGGGAAGAGATATGTGATAGTCCATATGTTTGTATCATCACAAAACTCTATACTTCAAGGAACACCGGACGGGTAGTCGGAGAAAAGGAAGGCGAAGAACCTGGAAAAACTACATGAACAAATTACACGGCTAAAATGCTATACAAATGTTCAAGCAGAAACCAGAGAAAATTGTGCTAGATCTTCCATCCTTCACTACACCCCAACGACCCTAAAAGGTCAAGGGTTATATTCTTATGTTTGTTTTTTTATAACACAAAACACGTACGCTATATTTTGGAATCCCCAAGATCAGCTAATTGTGAACTATTATTTCGACTTCTGGTTCAGTATAACGGCTAGTCACGGCGTTGAGTTTAGCTTAAAGGTTACTGTTGCTTCTATCAATGGTTTGCTAATGTAGTTTCCAAATATGCGCTGTCGTATCCAGTTTCGCTGACTACGCTACTGAGTTAGGTGTTCGGTACAGCACTGTGAGCTTTATATATCGTGTTGGATCCTTCATCTGTGCTGGCGATATGCCTTATGCGATATTTCTGAGTGTGTATTCCGGTTTTTTTTAAATGACTTACTACTTACTTCCATAGACACAAAGTGAATTCTGATGGCGACTGTTAGTGCTGGCATCTCTTACAGTTGCAATATGCATACATTGCATATCTATGTTTCTGGATTTTGCCTATACTGTTTGTTTGTTAGCGAGTTTTAAGATGGGACAATGAGGGCCTTTTCTCAGCTAGACCGAGCCTTAAATGGGTACCAGGCAGGTAAAGAACTAGGAAGTAAAGGCAGCCATTACCCACCGTGCTGATTGCTCTAAAATATACGTCTAGCACTATGTGCCCAATACACCTTAAGGAAGAAGAGTTCTCTCTCTCTCGCTCTCCTTCCCTATATGGGGACCTCTTTCTGTCTTCTCTATCTTTCTTGCTCGCCCGCTCGCCCTTATATTAAACACACAAGCACGCGCGCGAACGCACACACACAATCATATATCTACCTGACACTTCCCATGAAAGTTCTCCTTAGCTTTCCCTGCCCCCGGCTGCCAATTACGATCAGTCCAGCCCCGACTAGCTCCGCGTACTTGATGATCTCGTGCCACTGGTCGTGTCCGTGCGGGCGGGCAAACTTGGCGTCCCCAATCTGCAGTTCCAAGAGATTGACATACAGAGTAGGGCAACAGGTCAACAGTAGGTACACGTGGACACCCAGAAATTATTATTCTTTGTGTCTACCGGCTGTAAACTCCGGCAGAAAATTCTAGCTGTTCGGTCACTTATGGACTGTGGTCTCGTTCCGGAATTTGAGTTTTGCGTGCCTTTCCGTTTTACAGGTCTGACTTATTTGCACGCAGGTTCCTCACCACTCAGGCAGATGCACTCCGACGTCAAAAGGAAATTCCCCGAATTAGTCGAATTTGATGACATGCTTGTTAGTGGGGGGGGGGGGGGGGGTCTATTCTCTGCCTCTAAAATGAGGCTTGGAAACCATCACACAAAAAATCAAAAGTCTCAGCAATAATGTCACACAACAGCAATAGTGGAAACATTTGTCACACACCAGTCTAAACAGTTATGTCCCACAACAACAACAGTCTAACCAATTGTGTCACAAAACAACAAAAGCATAAACAATTATGTCATACAACAACAACAGTCTAAACAATCAGCTCACACAACAACAACAGTCTAATCAATCATGTTACACAACAACAACAGTCTAATCAATTATTTCCCACAACAGCAGCAACAATATAAACAATCATGTCACACAACAACAGTCTATACACTAATAGCACTTAAAAACAACTATCTAAATAATAATTTTACTCAACAACAAATATCTAAACTCTAATGTCACTCAATAACAACAGTCTAAACAACAGAAGATCCTGCCTGCACTGACCCCATGTTGGGAACACCACTGTAGATAGTTCTCCATTAGAACATCTGCCATTTGTCTGCTAGCATCTGTGATGTCGTGGCCTTTTGAACCCGCTGGGAATCAAAGTTGAGAGATCAAAGTTCAGTTCACAATATTAAAACATTGTTTTTACCAGTCTACATCGGCATCGTCAACATGCATCACCAATCAACTACGGCCGTCAACAGTCAGTAGCAATCATCGAAAACGATCTAAGCTCTTGAGCGGGTGATAAAACTCTCGACTACTTTCCACATCGCATGTGTCTGTCTTCTGCGAGTGTCCCCAACGTCGTGTATACCTGCATTGATTCATGTGTTTACACGCCATCTTGTCCATTGTCTGTCTCTTCAAATAGTCCCAATATTTTTCTTTCTTTCTAGTGCTTTCTTTAATGTTTGGGCACGCCTGCCTGCTTAAGTCTTGCGAGGTAAGGAAGCCTTTCGAATTATCGCTGGTTAATTTCTACATGTGCTAACTTGATGACTTACAAAGTAGCCAATGCGCCACTGCCGAAGAGTGACCAGTTCGCATGTGTAGCCGCTGGCAGGTTACCATTACGCGATATTTTCCCCCCTATTTTTTAAATTGTTAAAATAAATGCGCGTACAGTTTCCTTTGTAGTACTGGTAACTGGTAGCTTTCACACGTTACACTTTCTTTATGAGTGCCGTGAGCATGCAATAAAAGCATTTTATGGGCGGCGAGACTTAAACCGTGTGGCGCATTTGTAATATATAGTAAACAATAACAATAAATAGTCAAATATAACATTTTTTTTTGGGCGGCGGGACATGTAAGCCTTGTTACAGTCGTTGTTTGTTTGTTTTTGTATCCAGAAGCCATGAGTGTGACAGCCGTTATACGCAGGCACCGCCAGTACTCACACAGTAACCTGTACTCACACAGTAACATGAACTCACACAGTAACCTGTACTTACACAGTAACATGAACTCACACAGTAACATGAACTCACACAGTAACATGAACTCACACAGTAACCTGTATTCACACAGTAATCTGTACTCACGCAGTAGTCTGCTTATGTCCCGGGTGTGGTCAGGCACGTGAATGATGTGCAATTTGTTCTCTGGACGATGTATGTGATTCAGGTACCCTGAAGAACAAAACTGACATGCAACCAAAAAACGGCATGTAAAAACCATTTTTGCGCTGTGTTCAGTGGGGTCTGTAAGCCTGAGGATTGAGGGCCGCATGGCTGCTGCTGTAGCCACGGACTGTGCAGGTGGGGGTCTGTGAACCTGAGGATTGAAGGCCGCGTGGCTCATGCTGTAGCCACAGACTGCGCAAGTTAGGAGTGTATATTTGCTTCCGATAGAAGAAATTCAACAACCTTACCCACGATTCGAACCGCGCCGCTAGCCACACAGAACATGATTCTACTAGGTCAAGAACATTTCTTTACAGCGGAGAATCATTACTTGCCACCTCCCCCCCCCCCTTCCTCCCCGTGTGCCCCTTGTGGGGAAAGAAATAATGGAAGCATTGCTTCCCCCCCCCCTCACAAACATGTCTTAAAGGTCTACTAAAGTTTTTTTCTTTTAAAACAAATGAAAATTAAAATTAAATCCTTTAAAAGTCAGTAATAGATACATATTAAATTGAATTTTATGAAACGATCAATATAAACTTCTATATAAGATTAGTAAAATAAAAAAAAGCTGAGATCCCTTTTCACGCCTTTAAGGCGCATTGGGCATATGGGAAGAGCAAACCATATTTTTACAGACCATTCGGCGCTAGGTGGGTAATGTAGTCAGCATTACGCCGGTCGTCTTTACTTCCCCAGGACATACATTCTTGTACCCGTGTTGGGCTGGGTTGACCTGCGACGCCCCATATTATGATACAAATCCACGCAGCCAGCAGTGGGTTTCGATCGCGGTACGTTGGCACTACAAGTTGAACTCTCAACACCAAAGCCACATAAAGCTACATTGAAATAATTTGCTATCTCTGTGGTTCGAGGCTGCAGCTTTCTGCGCGGCGAAGTTCTCTTTGTTAGGCAGAAGTCGAATCTGTGTTGTTTTTTGCCTCCTCGTGCATTTCAAACCAGTCGATGCACTTTGATAACATTGTTTCTGCTACTGTATTGCCAGGTTTAAGTTTTTGGTTAAGACTGGCGGTTACACGAATGACGGTTAATCGAAGTTTTACCGTGCCTAGGTATCCCACGAAACATCACATATCACGTAGACCGAAAATGAAATGTAGAAAGGATCGTATGTGGGCAGGTCCCGATAGTGATGATACGGGTATCCCAGATTTAGAATTAAAATACAAAATTTAAATAATTGTGCGTTTGATTTTAATGTCCCGGCCAGACAATTATGGTCGATACAAATGTACTAATGAAACATCAGCTAGTTTTTCTTCTTCTGCGTTCGACATTAGTCATGCAGTCATGCATTTAGTCCCGTCTGTGTCGCAAAAAAGATTATGCGTTTAAGGCCCCCCACAGCTTCTCTTGCAATGTGGCTCCCTTGGGCCAGATCCACAGACTTTGCTGGGAGAGGTTAGGGCAGTCCTGCAGTATGTGCTCAGGGGTCTGTCTTTCTGCTCCACAATCACAGGCAGCAGATTCTTTTGTGCCTATCCTGTGCAGGGGTGCTTGAAGACAATGCGTCCTGTCCGAAGTCTAACAATTGTTGTTGTGTTCTTTCCTGTTGAGTTTGTTTATGATACATCAGCTAGTGTGCTAGTTGTGCGGGGTGTGGTGCTCTTAGGTTTGGCGGGTTGGCATTCCAATAGAGACCAAGCTGTATACAACAGTGGAAGACATGCACCGTGCCATATACTTCATAGAGGCCGAGGGACCGACTTCTGTTGACCACAAAAAAAAAAAAAACTGCTCTACACATTTTGGCAGCCCTGGCCGTTCTTGTTCTGGCTAGTTTTCATTTCCAGTAGCCACACACGTGGTATAGATTCTCCTGGCAAGACAGAAATGTGATGTCTGTATGAGAAGGGTCAGTTAATTGATTTTGTGTATGCGTGTTTGTGTGTGTGGTGTTGTTGATTTATTTGTTGTGCACATAAAGGCTTTCTGACTGAAACGTTCACTTGTTGTTTATATTTGTGATACTGAATCTGGCTGGTTCTACTGTTCGTTCGTCTGATATCTTTTGAAAACATTTTGAGGCAAGTTACGTGTCCACAATTGACATCGTAATGTGAAAATGGATCCTGACATTTGACCTATTGCTACTGAAACAGGAATGTCCTCTGGTCAGGGGCCGATGGGAGACAGTCCAGATGTTTGACTTCGCAAACTGACCACTAAGTGACCGCTAGGGTCTTGTAGACTCAGTCTCAGGCACCATCGATATTGATTGTATGCGAGGAACTGGTCGACGTCGCGTTGCCATGTCATTGCAACGTCACCTGACACAAGCTTCTACAGTTGTTGGCATGTAGTGGGAGCCGCCATGGTGTAGAGGCTAGATCCTCGCCTGCGGATCGGAAGGTCGTATGTTCAGATCCTGACAGAGCTGGGTTTATTTCAGAAATGACCTTGGCTCCCAGGTCGACCCAACCTCAAAGGTACCAGCTACGGTCCTTGAAAGTAACAGCGGCGGGCGTTATTTTGTACATATCACCCACCGAGTGCGGACTGGGCAATAAAATATAGGCCTAGCCCTATATGCCCAATACGTCGAAAGGCATTGAAAATGGTCCTTCTATTTAAATGGGACAGGCCATTGCTCTAGTGCGACTGTTAAGCGGAGGATGTTTGTCTATCAGTTTCTAATCGAGTGTTTCCTGACAGTTGCTGGGATTGGCGATATTATTCACATTGGGGGGGGGGGGAGGGGGGTCCGTTTCAATCAATAGAATCTTAGTCCTAGTCTAGGTTTCAAATTCATTATAATCGGATTTTCCCCATACTTGCTTCGTTCCTGTGCCAGTAAAAATCAAATGAAATGTCCCTCACTGTCGCATTTAAAACACTGGTGAACAAACAATTAGTCCCGGAACAATTCAGAAATATGAGCACGCAGTAAATGCATAGGGCAGTTGCTAGAGGCGCCAACGCCAATACTCACCACCAGAAATGCAGTCTGTCGTTGATGGAAGTAGTTGGTCACATTAAATTGGCTATACACACGTATAATTTTACATAAGGTATTTCACTGGCCCTAAGGTAAACCGGCTACCGGCCATATTGAATATAAAGACTCAGCCACTGTACAAAAGAAAGGCATTCCATATGAAAAACACAGCTCACAGGGTTGTACCAAGCACTAAACTCAGTAGCTCAGGCAGCTAAACTGTAGACTGCCGTCCACATGAGGAAACTGCATTAGCAAAGTGCTGTCGAAATCAAAAATAACTTCGAATCTAAACATTCTGCCGTGCCTAGTCCTCCATATTAGACCAGAAGTCCAGTCTGAGGTAATATAACATGACTCTATGCATGTATATTTCCTTACATCATATATATTTGTTATTGTCACCATTGTTAACCCTTTGGTGATAGCTTCATAGCAAACGGGTCACCCCATAGTTGTTCCATTCATATGACAGCCAAAACCACACAGAGTGCCAATCACTTTTCCTTGTCTAAAAATTAACACAGAATGTCGTCTCAGCAAAAATCCGATAGCTTACACGCGTACTAAATTTAGGTTGCAGCCGTCAGAGGTGCCAACGGGTTTTTCTTGCTTCAATTTTTTTTTTTTTTTTTTTTTACTTTTCCATGGTTGGCTGGCTTTTTCCTACTTTTCCATGGTCGGCTGGGGTTTTCTTGCTTTTTTTTTGTCTTGACTTTTCCATGACTGGCTGGGTTTTGCTTGCTTCTCTGTTTTCCCCCATGGTTGGGTGGTTTATTCTTGCGTCTCGCTTTTTTTTTTAAATAACTTTTCCATGGTTGGATGGGTTTTTCTTGCTTTTCTTTTTCCTAAATTTTCCATGGTTAGCTGGGTTCTTCGCCTTCTCTTTTTGACTTTTGCATGCCTAAGTGGGTTTGTTTCCCTTCTCTGTCTAACTCTTATGTGATTGGCTGTGTTTTTTCATGTTTGGTGTTTCTCCTTTTACGCTTCCATAACTGATTGACTGTGTGGCTATTGTTTTTACAGGATGCGAAAGAACCACGAGCCCAACCCTACCCTTAGTCGCATCTTACGACATGCCTGATTGGGTGCGGTCTTACTATTCTTTGCTCTCCGTGAGGGCTCCAGTACACAGGGCGATCATTTTTTCTACAGGCTGGTAACTCTCAGAAAGTACTCGTGCAATGCGAAATATAGACTGACACCGGATAGTTTGGAGTTATGCCCTGCAGAGCCGGTACATGGGGCACATGGGGTAGGTGATGCTGAGGAAGTGACACAACCACAATATCACCGGCTTCCTGTTTCTTTGCTTAAAAGCCGTTAGTGGTTTATCTTCCATTGGCGGTTGACAGGTATGTAGGTGTGTGACAGCACAGCGCTAATATTCAGTTCGGTGTTGCTGTGAGTTGCTGGTATCACGTAAGCTGGTGGCATTCTATTTGTTGATGGCGAGTCGTGATTGTATGGTACAACATAAGTGATCATCTGACGTAAGTTGGTGGTATACCTAGAGTTGATGGCGCGTCGTGATTGTATGGTACAACATAAGTGATCATCTGACGTAAGTTGGTGGTATACCTAGAGTTGATGGCGCGTCGTGATTGTATGGTACAACATAAGTGATCATCTGACGTAAGTTGGTGGTATACCTAGAGTTGGTGGCGCGTCGTGATTGTATGGTACAACATAAGTGATCATCTGACGTAAGTTGGTGGTATACCTAGAGTTGGTGGCGAGTCGTGATTGTATGGTACAACATAAGTGATCATCTGACGTAAGTTGGTGGGTATACCTAGAGTTGATGGCGCGTCGTGATTGTATGGTACAACATAAGTGATCATCTGACGTAAGTTGGTGGTATACCTAGAGTTGGTGGCGCGTCGTGATTGTATGGGTACAACATAAGTGATCATCTGACGTAAGTTGGTGGTATACCTAGAGTTGGTGGCGCGTCGTGATTGTATGGTACAACATAAGTGATCATCTGACGTAAGTTGGTGGTATACCTAGAGTTGGTGGCGAGTCGTGATTGTATGGGTACAACATAAGTGATCATCTGACGTAAGTTGGTGGTATACCTAGAGTTGATGGCGCGTCGTGATTGTATGGTACAACATAAGTGATCATCTGACGTAAGTTGGTGGTATACCTAGAGTTGGTGGCGCGTCGTGATTGTATGGTACAACATAAGTGATCATCTGACGTAAGTTGGTGGTATACCTAGAGTTGGTGGCGCGTCGTGATTGTATGGTACAACATAAGTGATCATCTGACGTAAGTTGGTGGTATACCTAGAGTTGGTGGCGAGTCGTGATTGTATGGTACAACATAAGTGATCATCTGACGTAAGTTGGTGGTATACCTAGAGTTGATGGCGCGTCGTGATTGTATGGTACAACATAAGTGATCATCTGACGTAAGTTGGTGGTATACCTAGAGTTTGGTGGCGCGTCGTGATTGTATGGTACAACATAAGTGATCATCTGACGTAAGTTGGTGGTATACCTAGAGTTGGTGGCGAGTCGTGATTGTATGGTACAACATAAGTGATCATCTGACGTAAGTTGGTGGTATACCTAGAGTTGATGGCGCGTCGTGATTGTATGGTACAACATAAGTGATCATCTGACGTAAGTTGGTGGTATACCTAGAGTTGGTGGCGCGTCGTGATTGTATGGTACAACA